TTCGGGGCAAAATTTTCCAACGTTTTCTTCAGTTATACATGATAAAGAATGCTTGACTTTTAGAACCTTCTTTCCCATCTTAATATTTATCTCCCTTCGTTTTTTGTCATAACGAAATTTTTGCTTTGTTCTTGCAATATCCGAATTACGAATAGCTTCGTTGACTAGTTTTGAACGTGCGCCATTTTTAATCTCAGAGCCTTTTTTTGACCGAAAAATAGTTTATCCAGAAAAATAATTAATTTTCTTCCAGCAAACGATTCTTCTGACGTTTTCCCTGTAATATCATGTTTACCTGCTCTAAAGGCAAATACTAATTCATTGACATAGCTATCCCAGCTTTTATGATAGTCTTTTATAGCCTGCTCTGCTATGTTTTTTACTGCGGCCAATAAGGTACCATTTTTAAGTGCCGTATGCCAAGCTCTTGGAATAGTCTCTCAAATATTTGATTAACAAATTGGTTTCCATTACCTAGAATTACTTTTAAAGAAGCTCGAAAGAAGCCGCAATAATTTTGTGGAGGATCTTTGGAGGGAAACTATTTCTACCTACTTTAAAAAATAATGCATGATTACAAGTAAAAATCTATCTTTATTGACTTCACTAAATGGGTATGGGAGTAAAAAGGCATTTCCTATCCATTTATTTGAGAAAGTGGCTTTTATGCTATTTAGATGCCCGGCTGGGTTATAATTAATATCGTTAACTAACTGGCAAATGTGGAATGGTTTGACGTATTAACTAATACATTTTTGTAGCTCTGGAAAATAGCTACTACTATTTCCTATGACGTACTGGGAATAGCTATGGGTACACCGAGTCCTCGTGAACTCGCTGTACCGTTTTCTTAATGCCAGATGGCCTGATATTGGAAATTCATGCAATTCTTGTAAAATACTCAACCTTAAAATAGCTGGGACAATCGGTCTTAATTCATTGTTTTCGTTATTTGCTTTTGAAAAAAATAAACTAGACTAATAGTTCGGGGCTTTATTCCTAGTAGCCATTATGTCCTGAGGCTCGAAATGATTAGGAAAGCATAATTTCTTTTATATTCGGGGTACGTTTGTAATTCAGAAATGATAATTTCACGAGAATCAAGAATTTAAGCTATTAGCATACTACCTTTGATTTTGTTCTCCTTTAATCTAATTTTATTTTTGATAAGGTGTCGGCCACTATATTTTCATTACCTTCCATATGTTTAATGATTAGGTTAAGTTCTTGAAATATAAGGGTCCATCTAGTAAATCTTGGCGATAATTTTTTGCCGGAATACAAGCGACCCACAGCCTCATGAGCTGAGTAAATTGTAACCGGTGTCTTACCAAAGTACACTGAACCGCTAACAGAACTGCTAGCGTTTTCCTTTCGATAGACTTATAATTGCTCTGTGTAGGATTGAGAAATTTATTGAATTGTGCAACTGTCTGTTCATTTTGAGTCAGTGCAGCGCCTACCGTATAATCTGAGACATCCGCTACGATCTGTAAGTTCCCATCGCCTTCAGGCAATTTCAGCACTGGCACTAACCCTTGTTTAAGCTGTGCGAACGCTGTATTTGCTTCGGCCGGACAAGTAAATCTAGCTTCCTTTCTTTTTAACAGTGGCTTAAATACGAGGACAACATTTTTGCTGTATTTGGTGGAGGGTAATTGGGTAATTTTTTATTGCAATTATTTTGAATCTTCTGATTCAGTTCCTTTTAGCGATATGTTATAACCTATGTAAAAGTTTCTTGGTAGCGAACTTACAACATCTTGAGGCATTTATGTTTAAATCCTGCTTCGTTTAGAAGCCGAAAAACATCTTGCAGATTAATAATCTGTTCATCTATTGTCTAATTAGTTATTACATCATCTAAGTAAATGAAAATGCTTTTAACCAAGGACATGTCTTAATATCGTGCCCATAGCCCTCTGAATAATAACGGGAGCTCCCCATAAGACAAGGCCATTCTTAAAAAGGCATAACGCTTGATTTTGCAATATATATGGTTTTCGGAATATCTTACGGCTTTACACAGATTTGAAAATACTTTGAAGTAAGATCTAATGTTGCCATGTAATTCATTGATTTACATTTTCTAATTATTTCTACTGTTGTAGGCAGTTGATAAGCAAGATATTTAGTAAAACTACTGAGTTTTCGATAATCAAATGCAAAACGCACGCTTTGTGGTCCGTAGTTGGGAGATTATTCTTTCGGCATAGTACTACCAGAGTAGTGTAAGATCCGGTACTACTCCGGTCTACCGGTAGTGTAAGATCCGGTACTACTTCGGTCTACCGGAGTAGGCTGCTTATGGTAATTACAATTTCCTGTTCGTAATTTCTTGCATGAGTTGTTCGATAATTTGTTCTTTATCATACCGATAAAACTTTACTATTACCAGTTGGACATTTACTATCCCAATGCTGTGGCTCATAATTTGAGTATGGAAGGACTTCTCGTCAAATAAATTAGAGAAATGTCTTACCAATCGTAACAACTTGATTTTATCTTCAGACGATAGGTGAGTTAAATCTGCACCATGCCTCTGAAAATTTATTTTAGCCCCCTCTGCCTGTAGAAAATTTATCACTAAAATTACTGGGGCTTAGAGATTTTTTACAGCGTAAAACATTACTTCCTGCTACCCGTTCTTTATTTGCGCGTGTAACATTTTCCCCACGTATGTACACTGCTTGCTCTGAGAGGGAATACCTCTTGCTCTCAAAATCACAACCACTCTATACTTTCTAAAGTATTTTCGAAAGCATTTTCTTTTTTTTTTGCCAGGAAACTGCATTGAGCCTCGGTGATTAATAGTGCAGCTGTTAGAACATTATTTAACAATCAAAATCGTAAAAACAACCTTGTATTTAGCGTAGGTATAATGAAACACTCAATCGATTTCGAGGGCAGCTAAAGGTCCCTCCTCATCAGGAGAAAGAAATACCTAGAAAGAAGAAAATAAAGGAGAAGGAGTCACAGAAACACGTGGTCCTTATCAGCACTGCACGTGGTTATAACTAGATTTTTAATCAGAGTTGCAATGGCTGCCTACTTTTACTGAGCCAGGCTATCTGATCGAGCATGAAAAATTAGCGAAGTTAAAATAGGGAGCGAGGGGCAAATGCACCTTACGCTCAAAATCTGAACTTCAAATAATGGAAAGCAACCACTGAACGGATTTTTATACCCTCTGGTAGTACCACACGCGAGGAGGTAACGCTATCTATCGGCAAAAATAACTGAATTAAGATAGTAGAATTTTAAAGGCATTAGGAAGGACTGGATTGGACTTCAAATCATTAACTAAACCTGCTAAATCTTTGTGAATGTGAAAAGCCTCAAGAAAATCCAATTCACCTATGGAAGAAGCTTTTTGGATAATTTTTGCAGATCCAAAATCAAAATTATGGTTAAAAGTCCAACTATGATACGCTAAGACTTGTTAATTTCGCCTTTTCTGACATAAGATTCATGTTCCTTGATACGAAACTTCAACGCTCTTTTCGTTTGGCCGATATATCTTAAACCACACTGACACGATATACTATAAATTCCCCAAGAATTCAGGACAGAAACGCAATCTTTTAGAGTCGAAAGGTGAATTTTATTAATAGGGGAGAAACCGACTTGAAAATTGAATTTCTGGAGAATCCGTGCAATTTTATAGCTAACAGAAGGATAAAATGGAAGCACGACAAGGTCATTAATATTATTTCTAACAGTGGAATGTCTTCTTTGATGGGAAACTGAAATTTTTTTAACGGCTTTATCAATAATCACGGGAGAAAATCCACGGTCAATCGCAACTGCTCTTAAATAATTAAGTTCATTGGTAAGCAAAGATTCAGAGGAACAAACTTTAAGCGCGCGGAATACATAATAGTAAAAGGAAGCCATTTTTTGCTTAACAGGGTGGCATGACTTGGCATGGGGTGGTAAACAAACTGCAAAGGGTTTACGGTACACAGTGGTGCTAAAATCAGTTTCATTGCGGATTATAAGAATATCGAGGAAGGGGAGGGAATTGTTGGATTCAATTTCAAGAGAGAATTGGTCGGCTGGACCAATTGAATTCATAATAGATAGAATCTCGGATAAATCCTCTTTATAACCGTCAAAAAGTGCGAAAGTGTCGTCAACATACCGAATCCAAAGACGAAAAGATAGCTTATCAAATAATTTCATCTCAAAATAGTACATGTAAATGTCAGCAAGTACCGGACTAAAAGGATTACCCATAGCCAATCCTTCAACTTGACGAAAATATGCATTTTGGAAAACAAAGTGGGTTTGACTTAGAGAAACTTTGGTAAGCGAAACCAACTCATTAATTTCAGTATGTGTGAAGTGAAATTCACGAAGCCTAGTTTCAAAACAATTTAGTGCTCCTTCGACCGGAACATTAGTAAACAGGTATTCAAATTCTGAATTTAAATTAAAATAGACAAAGATTATGCAGAGAAGTTAAATAGCGAAGATGTCACGGAATTTACTGGCGGGAGTGTAACTGTCGAAAAGTAGCAATGCAACTTCGAAGACAGAAACTCTTATCTAGAATAGCAAAACTAGTAATGTGGCCTTAAGGCAATAAAACACGTTCTATCTTAACAATCCCGAACTTTCACTTAAATACATCCGAACTAATTTTCTAATTTGCATTCTGGTGAGAAAAGGGAAAAAAGGAAGAAACAGTAAAGATTACAAACATAAAAAATTGCTTATTTAAATTAAATAAACCTCATAAGTTAAATTATTAAAATTTTCCCTTTATGATAGAAGCTTAATGAAATAAGATAAAAGCTGAAAAAAATTAGGTTTTAAACATTACAGAAACATTAAAAAAATGAAAGTTTTAGAAGTTTTCGACATCTAAATTTTTTAATATGTTTTGAATATGAAAAATATTAAAAAACATGAAAAATAATACGTAAGGTGGAAATTTTATTCAAATTCATTTTGAACTTTTATTTCTGAATGAATAGAGCTATTTGGTTCCGAGATTACTTAATAAAGAAGAATGAATTAGCAAAAGGACTTTTTTTCCAGTTTATGCCTGAATCATTATTCTTCCTCACTAAGTTTTTGATGGCATGTTCGTCTTTTATGGCGCAAAATTTGTACATCGAAAGGGAAACTAAACCCGACAACTGCCAATTTTGTGATTTTTCATCCCAGTAAGAAGGGGGGTAAGGTGAATAATTTCCTTGCGAAACATCATCATATACTAATACCATATCCTTGAAGATTGTAGCTTTCGGAGAGTAATAAGGGAAAGGCAAGTCTGCAAAGGGCTTCCATATGTCCTCTTCAGTATCGTATTCTTCCACAGATCTCAAATATTCGCCATTATCAGTTCCACCCAGAATGTATACTTTACCCCGAAGAGAAACAAGAGCGAAATTATTTCGGTATATATTAGGAGCATTTATCAATGACCAGGTATCCTGCTCTGGGTCGTAAACCTGTGCAATCATTTCAAAATCTCGACCGTTTTGGATAACTCCAACGGCATAAATTACATTTTCAGCTCCAATGGCAAATCCACTATTCATAGGAAGCATGGAACTGACATCTTCCCACAGTCCCGTTAGACAATTATATTTTTCTACCAAAGATGTATGCACGTGTGAAGAGAAGATAGTTCCTCCCAGTACATAGATGCTCAATCCTATATCCACAACACTGTATTCGTTACGTGGTATATTCATGGGGTTCAACTGTGTCCAGGATTTGTCTTCCAGATTTAAAGCTAGAATTTTATTTTCAGATTCATCAAACATATAGACTCTGCTGCCAATCGGAACAAGAGCTTGGGGCCATATGGGGGTTTCATCAATTTCTTGCCATATATCGAGCTCTTCATCAAATGTTATGTAGAATTTCTTCTCAAATGAAAACTGAGATGCCGAACCTGAGAAAAGAAATATGTTCTTAGGTAAACGAGACTGAGATGTTATCGGATAAATGCCGAATATGACTTTTGCTTTTGATATTAAGCTCTTCAGTTTTTCAGAATTATCATTATTTTTAGTGTTGTTTTCAAATTCCGTGATGAGATTTTTCTCGAAATCCTTGCAACATATGCTATTTTGAGGCTCACTGTTTAATAAATATTCTTTAACGAAAGGGTTTTCAAGTATTTCAGTTGCCAAGGGTTCATCCAAGTTCTGCAAACAAAGGCATGCCAGTAGTTCAGGTAGTACTTTCGATCTTTCAACCGGATTTTTCTTCAGCCATGTCATAGCAGCCATCCATATGACATCCTCTGTAATTCCACTTAGATTCAGAAAGCTCTTCGCGAAGCTTAGCGGAAGATCTGCGAAATTGGAATACTGACTGCTGACGACAGATTCGAAATGAGTCTGAATAAATCTGAAGCATTCAGTCAAAAAGGAAAATCTCTCTACTAACCAAGCTACCTCAAAAAAAACATCAGACAATTGTTAGCATTAATATGATTGAGAGCATAGATTCGACATTCATTAAGTAATTTGTCAATCAAAAAGTAATCTGCAGCTACGATGATGTCGATGATGTTCTCTTCATTCAAGGTGAGGCTTCCAGTATATAGAAAGCGAAGAATTTCGCACAAAATGCTTCCACTAATGCCTGAAAGATTCACTTTGGTTTCTATTCCGAAGTTGCCGCTAAAGACAGCTCGAAAATATTCACAGCGACTAGCTAGAATGATACGATGTGCACCAAATTCCAGTCCGTCTTCACTTTGAAGGCAGCAATCAAAGAGTTTGTCCAGATCAAAGAAGATCCCTTGCTTAAAGATTTCAGAGTAAGATTTCATGATCTCCATTTCGGGATATGCAACTTTTTTGTCAGATATGAAATATCTCAAATAAAAGTATATGCATTTTTATGTATTTCTAACAATGCGCATTGTTATTTTATCTTCGGAGGTATTTGTTGCAGAGCTAATATCATAATTCACTGACTGTTGTGAAAAATGTTATCTCTGTTCACTAAATCTATTGCAGCAAAAAGGCTTTTGTTTCATTTGGTTTTAAGATATTTTGCTTTCCTATGATAATTAGAGACGCAACAAACGAATGTTTACTTATTGAATATGAACACAAAAAAACTTTCCCCAATGTGAAAATTTTTTTATTTTTGTTTTTTCTGTTTTGTCTGAAAATAGAGCTTCTTAAAGTGAATTTGATTTTATTTTTCTAATTTGGTCTATTATTCAAAAGAAATGAAATTTATGTACTTTTAAGAGTACAAGTTTCTAAAATAGTATTCATTTCCAATACATGTGCTGCAAAATAAATTAGGAAATTTTTATGTAATAAACTTTTCCTGAAAAGCTGTAAAGGTAATAATGCATATTTATTTACGGAAAAATAGTAATATAAGCAGACCTTTCTATTTTTATTGCACGTGTAACAAAAATTAATAGTACTGAAGTATGAAAAATAATGCAAAAAATATTTCAAAAACTCATTATTCAGAAAATAAACGTAAATTTCAAGTTTAAGAAATTTTATTTTAGAGTCAACCATGGAGGTAGGAAGTAAGATGGAGTCGCCCTAAACAAGTTTCTCCCGTACCCTGCTCTGAAGCACCGGGGATCCCTACGTGGTGACCAAAACATTGGGTCATTTACCATTGAGTTCAATGGAATTTGACGCGTTCGGATGTAAATATTTTGTAATTACGTCGTAAATATACATATAAATGTATATATTTTCTTTTTCTACAACACTTCAGAGTCCTAAGTATGTGAAAACAACATATTTTTAAACAGCATTTCATTCTGAACGGAATTAAATGCTATACTTTTCACAGGACAGTTTTCTCAGAATGGTTTAATTTGAATGAAATATTTTCACAAGTTATCGTTAATTACATTAGAAAAAAAATTAAGGTAATTCGATTTTATTCGGTTAAGGTACATAAATTAAGATCAAAGTTTATTGTATTATTAATATTAAAATTATGCATTATTTCTTTTCTATTTATAAAGTTTCTTCCTAAAATACTTTCTTAAATATGACATGATTTTTTGGCTTCTGAGGCATCTTTTAAATCGAAAAATGTAAGTTAATTTGTAATTAATGCTCTATTCGGTTCATTTTAATTAAATAGGTATTAAAAGTACTTGACTTTCTCTGAACATTTCTGAAAGGGAATAAAATAAGTTTTTTTTTTTTTTTTTAAGTATTATTTAAAACTTGTAATTGAGTTATTATAAAATGTAAGGGGAATAATTCTTCTAATTATACTTATCAGATTTTCTTTTACCCTTCATTTCAACAATACATATTCCAAAACTCTTTATTACTTAAGTGCGCATCTCATAGCATTTGCTTTACAATACCTTTTAACAGATTGCTTTCCAATACGAACAATTCTTGCTTAAATAGTTTTATAACGTATTTGTCAACAGGATTTCAATTTATGTTTACAATTCAATATTAAGGTTATATATTTAGATAACATTTATAATCATTATAAATTAGATACATTTAATAATTAGATTTCTTCACGGTACTTTCACAGTTGTTTGTAAGTGAATAAATTCTTCATTTCAAATACATTTATAAATAATTTAATGAATATTTAAGTATTTTGTCAAAGGCAGATACATGCTTTTTGCAAGCACATGCATAAATACCCATACATATTTCCTATTTTTCATTTCCGGCATGTGCAAATCTTCAATTTCTGTGCATTCACTATATTTTTCGTGTAAAGTAATTTACACTAATTTAGCATACACCCGAAAGTTTTACATAAAAAATATATATGAATATAAGAATGAAAATTATAATTATTATTTTTAATATCCACTCAAAGGTCAGTTTTTCTTCAAAATTCCTCCACGATGGCATCTCTCTCTTTAGGCAGTTAGCCCTTGCATGCGTTACTCTATTTAATAAAAACTTAATCTGACCTATGTGCCTAATTACAAATATTTTAACATACATAATTTATATTTATAAAATGTGTAAGCCCAAAGTGATTATTTTTCAGATAAATAAAATTAAAACGATGGGGTTTAAAATGAGCAGCAGTAAAGCCTCTCCTCTAAAAAATTTTAAAAGGTACATGTTACAATAATATATGAATGTGAAAAAAATTTGTTTTATTTAAAACATTTTGACGCTTGGAAAATAAAATAAAAGTAGCGAATACTCCATCAAGAGTATCGAAAGACGTATAAAATTTTAAATGTACCGTAAGGTATTTTTCATTCTTTAAGCATAACATTTTTCTTAAAATCTATATTTTGTAGTGCAACAGCTTATAATTTTATAAAACATATTCATAATCAAAATCGCTGTTGTTAGTTATCGAAAAATAACCAAGATGTGATTTTTGCGTAAATGTCACGAAACTATACAAATTGCTATTATCCGTCACACTATGAATGTTTCTTTCATGCGAAAGTGTCCCCTTTTTCGATTTCTATGGAACTGTCGTGTGTCGAAATACTATCAGAATCTTGTCAAGCGAGTTTCTGAATGTAAACAAAGAACACCCCATCTGGTGACCCAAGCTTCAAAGCAGTGCTTCACTTTTAGCTCGGGTTGGCCCCTCCTCCCTTTCCTACCTCCATGGAGTCAACATCAGTGCAAGTGTAGGATATATTTTTCTCACACCACTTATGGTACGTGCTTTAGTATTTGGCCAATGATCTCATTTCTTTCGTGTTCTAGAAGCTTTCATGAATATCTAGCTTTTTTTTTTTTTTTTTTTTTTTTTTTTCTTTTTACATCGAAAATTCAAGGTAACATAATCCATTCAAAAGACTTGACAGTTCAAACTCGTCTGCTAAACATAGCACGTTTTCATCATAAAATGAGATTTCATGGCTAGTTGTTTCAGCATGAATGATTTTTACATTTATACATGATTCCATTATATTACAAAATATGATCGAATTTCTAAATCTTTTAGATAAAAAAAAGAAGCTTTTTTCTATTTCGAGAATCATCAGTTTATGCTTTTATATGTCACGAATCTTGACGTAAACCACCATTACATTCTTCTGCAGGTAGCAAGTACAGGGGGATTCTAAAATACCTGGTAAAAATGTAAAGTAGACCAAAAAGAAACGAATTTTGTAATGGGATATTTGCATGGAAAGTCGCCCAGACGGTATAGTGGTTAGGGGAGCCTGACTGTGATACCAAAGAGCCCGGGTTCGAATCCCGGAGAAGGCATGGATGTAAAACTGTCTATCCTTTCATAGGAGGTAACGGTGGCCACCTATTAGGTGCCTCCATAATGAAACAGTCATCGCTTCTGGACTTAGTAGTGGCCAATGTCGTTATAGGCAAGTGCCCGCCATTTGTAAAAAAAAAAAAAAAAAAAAAAAAAAAAAATGCATGGAAGCAGCACGTTGGTGTGAGAGAGAACGTTGTTAAGATTAGCAGGTGAAAGGCGTCAGCTGCGACATGTTCGTGGCTATGGTAGGAAACGGAGTAGTCGCTTCGAAAATTTATAAACGATTCCAGATTAGATAGCTGCTGAATCGCCGAACAACGAGTACACTAATTGGAAGGTGTGCGAGACTACATCATTTTGCTCTTGTAAGCGTGGTGGAGGTAGGAAAAGCTATTACAGAATTTTTGTAGTAGAAGAAATTGTAATGCTTGCATTTTGAAGGTAATCTGCTTCAAGCACGAAAGATCGACGTGCGTTGGGTGTGAGCCAACCAATCATTTAGAAGATTTTAAATGAAGAAATACATCCATTTCATTTGCAGAAAGCTCAGGTGTTGAAACCATATAATTATCCCCTACCCCTGGTAAGGCTTATGTTTATTAACCAGTTATCTTATTATCTTGCCTATACTATCATTTCTGTTTTCGTCAATTTACATGAAGAAAGAGTTAGTTATATAAGAAAGAGCTCTTCAATTTCAGAGAAAGCGTATGACAGCGATCCCCAACCGTCTCGATAAGATTTTCTACCACTTTATGAATTTTACTTGAATGCTGTAGCATTTGCTAGCTGTTTTTGCGCGCGTGATTCGAGGTCTGCGCCAAAACTTGTGGCCTGAGTTCATCTTGTAATCTCATATTTTATACACTTAAGTTACACCTTTAACTTTGTATTATGTTAATCCAGCAAGCAGAAAAATTTGTTGTTATTACACGAGCTGTGTAAATTGTTACGCTCCCTAGATTAATATTTAAAATGGTTAAGTTTCGTATAATGTTAACTTTGCCCACTAATAGCTTCAGTAGGCTGTTGCAAGACCTGCTTTTCCTTTGTGAGGCTTATTCAC